TTTTTATTAATTAAAGCCAATATTAAGTTTTCAATTTTTTTTTGTTTTTTTTCTTCAAGTCTCTCCAGATTACTTGTTCCACTAAGCAACAATTTCTATTTGAAGCATATTATTAGGCCTTGTTTTTTTTTTTCAATTATACACAATTTCCTTTTCACCTAATAGATTATTACCCTTTTATTGATACAATAAAAAGTATTTATATTTATATACATAATGAATGCAGTGTCGATTTTTCTTTTATCAACTTTTTTTTTTTTTTTTCATTTTCTTTTTTTTCTTCTTGAATACAAAAACGATTATAAAAATTATTTTTTTGAATTTTTGTCCGTCTACTTAACCTTCAGTTTAAATTATTACAAATTTAAAACTCACGCAGTAATAATGATTTTAATGTCCCGCCTTCTGATCGCCTGAAAATATGCCATCGAAGGTATTTATGATCAAAAGTATAATGCTCAACATCAATGTAAGGAAGTCGTAGAAAGTCGAGGCAAATCCCTCGACTGGTTTGCATTACATTTCCAAATATTATTCATTTATGCAGGTTCTGTGAAAAGCAAAATTAAAGCTTTCTGTCTTCTCTTAAAGGCTTCTTCCATCGCAAATGTGCCTAACGCATTATATCGTTTGATTATTGAATACGATCAGCATATTATGGATTATTGGAGATCTTGGTCGAATGCTTTCAATGCTACACAATGCCTACAAATATAAACAATGTTTGCAAAATGTTTTCGTCCCGCAGGTCTAATTCATCCTCCATGAAATGATGTTGCCGTTGCTTTCGTATCATAGTAAATACGTAAGAGTTTAGGAAGTTTTCGTTCCTTTTTTTCTTCTTGCTGTATAGGGTCCGCAAAGGTCCGCATTATACTCAATAGTTTATTCGAATAGATTTTAGAAATTTTGAAGTTGTTATGTGCACCCACTAACACGAGCCCCGGTGCGCAATTTTTTATTTTTTCTCGTTACGAATCGATAGGAATTATTCGTAAATTCATCGTAAATATTTGGACGAAGCGCTAAGTCTTCAAGTACTGCGAATAAGTCATCACCAAAAATCTATCGTCGGTCTCTCTCGTTATTATACTCGAAAACTTGTGTCGTACAAAGTGCATTAAGCTTACGCAGAGAAGGACTTCAGATAGACCAAACTTTTATTTTATAAACTTGCCTGAGTGTTTTGTTTTCTTCTCGGCACACCGACATGGGCTGGCCCGAGGACGAAGCCTATTGAAAATGGTTCGGTTCAGACCACTTTTTCAAACACTTCCAACATAATGCCTTTTTTTTGAAAATTCGTTCATATCAATGATTATTTTCAGAGTATTAAGGTTGTTCCGATCCCTACTCACCTACTTTCGTTGCTACGAAAACTGAGTTTTTACATGGAAAAAAGGTCGAATTTTCATGGTGAATATTGATCCATAATAATAATCTGATATAAATGCTAACCACATTAGTTTACATTTTCAGCGTCCGCCAATATGAGAGCTTTCATGAAGGGAACAATTTCATATATTTTTGGTGCATTAGCACGAAAATGAAACAAAGAGACGAAGTGGTGTAGAATATCTAATGTTTGGCCGTAGCCGACTATAAGCTTTAGCTCCTTATTCAATCTGACGGAGTACGATCATTTGTTAAATCGAGGCAAAGGTAAACATAATTAGGATCTCGTATGTCAATTAAAACAAATATGCATTTTGCGGAATGTCTTGCACATTTTCATCATGCATTGGTGGAATTAAAAAGATTGAAATCGTCAAATACTAATCATGGATGCATTGGTGATATAACTCCCAGGTGTAAAAAATTTTTACGTTTTATTACCGAAGGATGAACCTTATTATATCTCAATTACATGAAAGAGGGCAACTTTAGGCGAAGATCTGGGATTCGTTGTATTTGTAACGGTCAGACATACGCATATACTCAACCTATTAAAGAAATGAATGAAGAAAATGGCGGAAAGATCTATTGATATACAATGTTCTTTTACTCTTTCGCTCACTTCTCTAAATAATTTAAAGGATACGAATAGAAATACTACGTTTTACGTAGGTGCATAATTTAAACTTAACTGCTTGCTTAGGTTTAAAATATTATGAGATTGTCCACCTTTAAGAGAGAGTATTAGATCTCTTCACCGTAAAGTAGACGAGTAATTTGTTCTAGACACCTGGGGTGCTAAAATTTTATGTCAATATCAACTAATATCCAGTTGGGGAAATGCAGAACGAATACTTTTACTGTTAGCTTATGAGAACAAATTAATTTTTGAGCGAAATGCCAAAAACATTTATTCGCTTCGACAACGATCAACAATCAAACAGAACATGTCCAAGAAGATATAATAATAATTGGCACCAATGACTGTTGAAGTGCCTACTTATGCACTAAGAAAAAACCGATATTCAATAATATTGTGTAACAAAGAGAAATTTTACTCCGTATCATTATGGTGTGATTTCGATTACTTTTATTTTTTTCTTATACAGTATGGCATAAATTTCGGGAATTGCTTTCTTTAATTTTTCTAGGACAAATAATATCAAATTGTTATTTCCATTAAATTTCAGTAAAAAAACTGGAAGCGAACATTTTCAAGTTACGCATAATAATCAAAAAATCATATCGAAAAGGAAAACCTTAAAAAGTAATTTCTTTTTTTTTTGTACACTGTGTAATGTAAATTATGATTAAAAATTCTTACAATTTTATCATCTTCATCCACACTTTCATTCATTTCTAATTTTTATTTATTTATTTATTTATTTTTTTTTTTTGTTTTGCGATAAATGCTTTTGTCTATTTTATGGCTACGAACTAAAGAGAAATTTTTGATATTTGTAAATTGAATATTTTTACCTGTGGCACGGCGGCTTTTAACAGGGCGAAGGGAGTTTAGGGAAGGAATCGTGAGAATATGTGACATATAGATATATAAAAACATGCGACATATAAATATTTAAGAATATTTGTACATATATATATATATATATATATATATATATATATTTATATATACATACATACATATATATATATATATATATATACATGGGAAAAATTACAAATCATCTCTAACATCATGTAATATTGATAAAAATTTACAATAAAACTTATATTATTCAATATAAATACGTATAGCATACTTTTAGGATTTAATGATATGCTTATTAAGTTAGCATAGACGTTAATTGAAAGAGACATATGATATGAAAAGCTTAAGACAAGTTTTGATTAATAGGAACAAGTTAATTACATACAGAAGTTAACGAAAAAAAGGTTAAAAAAAAAAACAAAAAAAAAAACAAAAGAAAAATAGTTGAAAATATAATAAAAGGGATTTTAAAAGAGCGATAATTAAAAATTAAGCTCAGAGGATCTTCTAAAAGTGAAAATAAAAATCCGTGGAACTTAAAATTGAAGTGGTAGTAAAAGCGATTTTGTAAATTTCATATATATTTTCTTTTTCATTTTTAATTAAACAATTTTACATAGTTATATTTTTTAGGCATTGTATGCTTCATTTTATAGTTTTTTTTTTTTTTTTTTTTTTTTTGTATATATTTAGGGCTTAATTACTACTATGGCGTCTATTTTGGCCTTTATTTGGAACAATACCATGTTATCGTGTTTCTTTCCAAAACGTTATGCTTTCTTTTCCTTCAGTAACATTTCATATTTATTTTGATATAATTTAGTTTTTCTTTCATTAATTATTTTACACGTAGCAGCGTTCAGTATACAAGCTTAAGATGATTCATGAATATTTTTATTTATAATTTTCATTTTTTTTTTTTTCTTTTCTGTTATTCTTTTCTTTTCATTTCTTTTCTTCTTTTTAATTAAATACAATAATAATTTATAAAATATTTTTAAGAACATTTCCTATAATTTACAAAATAATTTATTGCATATTCGTTTTTTGTAGAGACAACTCTTAAAAATTCCGATGTCCCGATAACTATCAGCAAACATAAATCATCAATTAAGCAGACAAGTCGCAGAAAGGTACTTAGCCGTGCTGCTTGCTCAGTTCAAGAAAACATTTAAAACACATTTAATTATGTAAAAACTAATCTATCTACACTCTGAAGACCTGATATTCGTGTTAATTCCTTTAATACAAAAAAAAAAATAAATATATATATATATATATATATATATATAAAAAGCATAGTGTAAAAAAAGATTGTTTTTTTGCAAAATTCTAAAGAAAAAAATAAAAAACAAAAAAAAAAAAAAAAAAAAAATGACAAACTTAACCTAATTTTTTCAAGATTTATTTTATTTTATTTTATATATTTTAATAAAATAACTACATTAATTATATTTTTTGAATAATTTCAGTTCAAGTGCGGCCAACAAATATCAACCAACTTTCCTCTTGTAATTGTTCATCTCTTTCATTCAACTATATATTTTCGTAGGGAATGGAGCAAACCGAAAGACCGGTATAATGAAGACGTTCGCATCGCTTTTGTTTGTGCCGTAGGCGGCAAGATATTCGGTTTGCGTTGCATTCTTGCGTACCCACTACTACCATGTCTGTTTATATTTGATTATCGACAGAAGCCCAGAACTAATTTAATGTGAGCTAAAAAAAAAACATATTTACGCAGTCGTCTTATTGTTCAATCTTCTTTCGAAACTTCTCCGATTCCGATTTATGAAAATAAATTTGAAGCATTTGAAACGAATTTGCACAAAACTAAACATTTTCAACTTTATATGGAAGGTGGATTGGTTGCAATAATCACGAACTCAAAGGCAAATTGAGAAACTGTATTCGAACGATCGTTTCTTAACAATACTATTACTGTCTTCTTCACCAAGTATTATAACAACAAAAGTTCTCAACATCAAGACGTGCATTATGAAACGAAGGCTTTATATTATTATTATAATAGAAAGATATCCAAATATTTTCTAAAAAAAAAAAAAAAAAAAGATTCAAAAAAGATTCAAAAAAGATTCAAATCCTTTACCTTAGCAGTAGTTGCAACTAATATTCAAATATATATGCTCAGTTAAATACGCTAGATGGACTGGACGTAAGTGATGAATTTTATATGACTTGTTCGTTAAAAGCTGAAGCTGTCTTAATTTTTTTGATACATACATACATAAATCCGTTTTGATATATCCGTTGATATAGATAGATATATAGATACCTTTGAATTTTTGTGTCATATAAAGTATTAAAATACGTTTATAAAAATCGATCACGAATTTTGAAAACTGTTTAAGGAAAATATTTCATTTATCTTCTCTTTCACTTTCTTAAGCTCTAAATTATTATTCTCATACAGAAGTCATTTTAGTTCTTCGTAAACTTTTGTTGCCAAAAGCCGCGCGCTCTGAAGCACGTGACAAGAAAACACTAAACTCGATGCGTAGTTAGATGGGTAGAGTTACTGCGTTTGGGTGGTGGTGGGGGTGGACGTTTTTTTCGTTGCCCTGCCAATGCTGTACTTGCAGCGGTATTCGCGTTCATTGACGATTGTGCATGAGCTGGTGTGACAAACTGAGAGTCTATAAGTCCTAAATGCGTTGTGCCGTGAACATTTTCATATAAGGCGTATTCGTTAGTAGGTGGTGGTGCTGGCGGTGCCCCTGCACCGTAATGTTCTTGTACCCAGTTACTAACGTTGGCAGTCTCACGATAGTAATGAGAATTTGAACCCAGATTATGTGCCAAAAGTTCATCCGAAGAGAAATCTCGAAATCCTAGTACCTCATGAGGAGTAGTCGCTGGTTCTAATTTACATTTTTGGGCTACTTGCCATTTTTTGCGCATAACCCGTTGCAGATCCTTAAGAAAGTCGCGTGGTGGGTTGGACGTAGACTCTTGTAAACGCTTCGGTGAACCATACTCTTGCGTAGACACTGAAGATATAATCGATGAACAGTTGGATAGGCGTGTAAGATCGTTCCGTGGCGGTGGCAAAGGCCCAGGAGCATAAAAAGGCTCTTGGTGTCGTGGTTCCGGTGAGTGCATTTTACGCCTTAATAATACGGGAGAATCAGCAAACGAGACTTTTTTTTGTGTAGGAGCTGAAGCAGTTAAAGCAGCAGTGCTTGCTGAATTTATATTTGCGACCTTATAGTCGGGCGGATTTTTATAAGGTGGTGCTGTTTTAACGGCCGGTTTAATCGGTTTAGCTGGCACAGCCGGTGGTGGATTCTTGCTAAGAACATTGTAAATCTGATTGTTTGTTGATGATGTTGGTACCAACACTACATCCTCTGGTGGAGGCGGCGGTGGCAGTGAAACCAAAGACATTTGTGATCCATAAATATCTTGCTCAGTTAACGCTGGCGGCGGAGGTGGAGGCGGCAAAGAATCTAACGATAAGGTTGAGGAAGTCATGGTTTCCACAGAAGAAGAGGCTGGTGACAAGGTCACAGGCGGTGGTGGTAGTTCATAATTGGCAATCACCAAAGGTTTGCTGCATATGCTAGGTGTGGGAGTGGGCGTGGAATTCGATGACCCTGACGAGTTATTGGCACTCATGCTCTCGGCGGACCCGCGTTTGGTTAATCCACCCATAATCATAGTTCCGGCCTGACCTTGCGTTCGACGCTTCAAAGTCCCACCACTGCCATTAGATTCTTGAGATTTACGACGACTGTGACGTCGTGTTAATGTACCACTACGTTCTGGTGAAGTAGCTAATTCTGCGTTGTCAGCCTGTGTTATTTCTCCCACTTCCTTTAATTGTCGGGTCATCGTTGTCAAAGGGAGATTGGGTTTCATTGAAGGCTTACGCTTGATGGTTCCGGTGGTGAATTCTGAATCAAAACCGTTATTATCATCCGACAAGCAGCCACTGGAAGAGGAAGAAGAAGCCCGCGACATGCGTCCACCACTTGACGAATTTGACATACTGGATATAGCTGATGAAACACTGCCACACTGCGATGGGACCGCAGAAGATATACTGCTAATTGACTCGCTACGCATAGAAACAGCAAAACTGCTTTGGGAAACACCATCGCCGCCCATACTCAATTCTTCTAACAGACTTTTATGATTATCCCACAACTGCTTGCCATACTTAGCTACACGTATAGCGGTCAACCATTTCTCCATGGTCTCTAGATCCTCGGCACATAACATTTTTAAAGTGCGACATGATTTGCCTAAGGAAGAGTCTACAGCCGATTTAAAACCAAATGTATAATCAGAGGGTGCTTTCCATTTTTTACGCCAACCCAATCCTCGATAGATGTTATAGCCGTTAAACAGCGTTAAACATGCCAAATCGCGAGTATTTTTGGTTTTTTCTTTGGGAAAATAGTAGAGACCCGAGGTGCGCAAAACGAAATGATAACGTTTCCAGCCTTTTTTCGAATCAGCTTTCATATATAAAGGACCGTCTACTTGCAACTGTGCGCTCGTTTCAAAGAATTCCTCCAATAGCATGCTGCGCGTGTGTTCATCATGTTGGCTGCCAGGGGCCATCTGAGGACCCGGCAAATATAATTCGGGTCTTATAAACAAAGAAATTTTATCGGAACGTTGTTGAAAAAGAACACGATTACCGGCGTCGGAATTCCAAGTCATCAGATTATCGACTAAGAGTTCATGATCTTCGAACAGGCGTTCTAAGGGTAACAGAGAGGGACCATTAGTATTTTTTAATTTTCGAAGGAAAAATATAATTGCGAACAATAAAAACTTACCCATCTGTAGATCACCTAAACTTTCAACTAAAGCCCAATTCGGTTGCATTTGTACATGATTCTTGTCGGCCAATAAACGTGTTACATGCCCGCATGTCATACTTTCATCAACCAACAGAGATTTTGAAGCGCCATCCGCAGTGAAAGCTTTAACAAAAAGGCGTCTAATAGGTGCAGTTTCCAGTTTGTGCAGTGCCAATTGGATCTTAGCGGCTTTACTATTGCCAGACATTGGTAAAATAGGCTGTTGCAGCATACGTTTGTGATGCAAAGCCGAGCTCATGCCACTTGATGCCGACGATTCACTAGACAGCAGCGAAACGGTATCGCTAAAAGCTGAATCGTTGTCAGGAGACTCAGTACGAGGCTCCCGAAGACAACCGCCTCCACCTCCACCTCCGCCACCGCCACCGCCACCGCCGCCGCCGCCGCCAGGACCATTGCCCACTACACTAACACTATGTGGATTACCAACGTGGCCACCGTTTTCGGAAATGCCCGATGAGGAACATATAGAATGAGAGGCACTACCACTCTCCGAAGAGCCCGATATTGACGTAGCTTCCGAAATGGTGGAATTAGTGCGCGAATGTGTGCGCGTCGAAGGAGCTGAAGGAGTAATTAGAATATTCGGCCCACCGGCAGTCGGCAGAAAGTTACCTTCCCCACATGTGATTTGGGCTTCCAACAAGCTCAACTCACCTAAAATGACATCGAGCTCAGATTCTTGCGTTTCTTCGAGATTAGCCATCGATATGCGATACGTATGTGACTTTGTCGATTCTGCTGACGATGTTGCAGGGCCACGCTCACTAAATTTTCGTAATTTAACTGGGCCCGCGTTTCCTGCGGTTGTGGTATAATTAAATTCCCCAATGATTTTGGAACTACTTGAGAAATTGCTGCCACCACCACCACCACCACCACTGTCAGTTGTGCTGCTGCAACTATCGGCCAAATTTGTAAGATTTTTAATCTGAAGAGAAAGAGAAAATGCTTCATTGAGATTATATTACCATGCAATCAGCATTTTTACATTTTCCTTTAAATACACACAAACACGTTCACATGCCTATTTCACCTACAAGCACAACGCACAATTTTATTTAACTTAACAATTAGGTCGTAGCGCTTAAATTGTTATAATAAGTAAACAAATCAAACCAAACATATCCATATATATAAGGAAAAGCTAAACTGAAATCCATAAAAAAATAAAAAATATACATATACAACATACAAATGCATATATGTGCACACGTATAAACCTTGACTTTGTTAAGCGGTTAGTTAAGTTACTTAACCATGTAAGAAACCCTTTCCAACCAACAAGACAAAGTCATTGAACTATTATTTCCATTAATAAAGACCGAAAAAATCAAATGAATGACTGAAAAAAAAATCACATTTTATAGTTTCTCTGGGTTTTAAATTCTAGAAATTGTTTTACGGTCTCTCTCGGTAATCTCCTCATTACAATAATAACACAAAAACCACCATTTAACTTTTCACCAGTCAATCGCAACGTACACGTAAAGAGGGAAAGAGGCACAATTATTGCCATTGCCGCACAACTATCGTTACCGTCACCATCACCATCACTATCACCACTACCACCGCCACCGTCACCACCGCCGCCTCCAACGATTCAGGCATTTTGCGGTTTTTTTCACATTCATTTTATTTTCGTCTTCCGAGGTTCAATCAAAGACAGCAGGCGAATAACGGGGGCAGGGCAAGAAAATGTGAAAGGAGAAAATTTTGCCTTACATTTCTCTTGAACTCGATATCGTTCTTGTTATAGTTAGTTACAACTATATATCTAACGATTCACAAACAACACGGGCAAGAGTTGCACAATTGCCAGTAACTAATAGCAACTATTGTCAGCAGCAATCGAAGCCATTATAATTTTTAAGGTCCGCCACACTGTGTGAATATAATAAAATTATTATTTCGTTTATGAAATAATTTACAAAAGGCATGAAAAATTTAGAGAAGACATTAAAAAAGCAGTAGATATATGAAAATATATACATATATATATATATATATATATGCTTAACTCCACAACATTTGAGAATGATATATATTAAGTGGTCAGAACATCGGACAGAAAATAACTTTAGCATATTATATTAATAGAAATGATGAAACAAAATTAGGAGGGGCCCGAAGTGTACGCAATAAAATTAGTCCTAGAATAGAATCCCGCTTTCTTCGGTTGTTTTGTGTATACGTGTGCCGTGAGAAAAACAACCTCCACTATATTTTACAATTAGTTGTATACAACAGTCACGCAAAGTACTGAGCCTCGAGTTTCGTAAAAGTCCTATAACAGTCTAAGTCTATTCTATTGCTTTCTGTCTTAACCTGGTTTGTCGTGTACTTCGATGAACGTTTCCTATTTTAAAAACACTTTCTTACATTCACCATCACCGTACGGACTTATTGGAAATTTCCCATAAACTATCACACGATGTATATACATTTTTGATCTGCTTAACATTTCCACTGATCCGGCCATCGGTCTGGCTATTCGTCAATTTGTACCTCGGTCGCAAAAATTCACACAATAATCATCGTGTTACACTGTTAACTGGAAAAATTTGAAAATGGGCGTAGTCCCTAACCCCAGCCACATCCTATCAAAGACTTTCGTGCAATTTTGTATAAACATTTCCAAGGATCGGGGAAATCTTTAGTTACGCTATGTTACGATGGCACAAAAAAAACGTCTAATTTTCAGTCCATCAGTGCGGAGAGGTGACGAGAGGAGAGGGGAGGAGAGGGGAGGAGATATTAATTTAAAACCTAATACAAATGCTTTGTAGAGGCGACATGAAAATGATCTCGTATGACCAAGTAGCTCTCTCACATGCACTCCCGGTACTTTTCTATCCATCAAATAAAATGTGTAGCAATTTGAATGTTTCGTCGAAAAGGCGGATACGATTTTCTTGCTTGTCTTTCTTATTTGTTAATTGAAAGCTATTTTCCTGTGTTTTTCTTCGCTGCCAGCAATCAAACAAATGCATCGCACGTTAATCATGAACAAAAAATTACACACATTTCGTAAACTCTTTTATAAAATTTTAAGGGGAAATTGAAATGGAATTCATTCGTACGCCTAAGGGTCACACCCCGGTAGTATCAAAACTTCACCAGTCAAATTAGTTTTAACTTCCGATTATTGTTGCAAACTAATAAAATGAAAGAGAGATTAGCGGTAATTGTGATACGATATTCGCGTTATGATTTTTATTCGAATAATGTAAACAATAGTAATTTTTACGTAAATTATCGTATGTATAGTTGAGAAAGTATATATTTTTATTTAATCTTTGTATACATAGTGCATAAAAGTCGACAAATTTCAAGGTTTTCTTAAGAAAAACAAAATGATTCGTTAAGTACAGAGCTTTGCTCCAGCTTCTCCCCTACTCTTCTTCGTTCAAGTGTAAGCTGTAAGTTCATCTTTTTTTTTTTTTTTTTTTTAAATAAATAACAAGTAAGAATATTATGCTCGTGCAAGGCGAACCTTTAAATACCGTATACCACATTGTCTAACATAATTCTTATTTTTACAAAGGTTATATCTTTTATTTCTAGATAAAGGCATATTTTTCATGTACGTATTTATGGGGAACTGGGGAACTAGGTAACATAGGGCAACATCCAAAAATTGTCCAAATTTTGTAGAGTTCATTTTTGTATGAAATTACTATTGTAGATGAATTTCCATCAACATATATTAACTTGAAATTTTCTGCACTACAAAGGATTAATTTTCGTGAAAATGCTTACATAGGGTAGGATTAAAAAAAAAATAGGTCAAATATGGCACAGTTAATTTTTTTATATTAAATTACTATTATGATATAATTTTCATGAACTTTAGTTTTCGCTACATGAGGGGGGAGTTTAAAAATTGCAACACCCGCCGATCCAATTAAGAAAGGCCAAATGCTACTGCTTAGCCACTTTTTTCGAGAAATTTTGAATATTACAATTTGGTCGAAAAAGTGGACCGATCCGAACCATTTTCAATAGCATTCGCCCTTGGATTAAAACACGTCACTACACCAAATTTCATCAAAATATCTCAAAAATTGCAGCCTGTAGCTTGAACACATTGATCTACATGGGCAGACATCAGACAGACCGACGGACAGACAGGCCTAGATCAATTCAGTTTCGGATTTAAAATCAATCCGAATAATAAAAGATGGGTCTGCCTGAAGTTCTTCTGCGTGTTACATATGTCCACACTAATTTAATATACCCTGTACAACAAGGTGTGGTATAGGGTATAATTAACATAAAAATAAATAAACAGCGTGAACGAACACATTAATTTCGAAGGTTTCCTTTATCAGGAATATTTCCTCAAGGATAAAGATAAATGCAAAATACATATATTATCGATATCCTCGTAATATTGTTTTTGCCATAGGTTGATAAGCAACAACGAAAACATCCAGCTCTCAGTGAAGTAAATTTATTCATAAAATTGCTAATAGAGAATGAACGGTTGTGCTCGGGTGTAATCTGAAAGCATCATACATATGCCCAATGTATGAAGGTAGCGTACGTCTCTTATCGAACTTAATGACTGCATTTTCAAGTGCATCCGTGTCGATTGAATGAACTTGAGTGAGTGACTCCCCAAAAATCTACATTTTCTTGCATATTTCTTCTTCCAGTTGCCACAAAATGGCGGACTCTCTAAATTAGCGATTTAGGAGCATTATAGAAACCCTTGATGGGTAGAAAGCGATGAGTTAAAAAAAAAATCTCATTTAATTGAGACCGATCGATAGCCAAGATAGTCAAGTCTTCGCCTTAGGATGAACTTTTGATATTCGCTCGATGTATGGTCATATCCATCCGTACTCTGTACAATGCACTTGTAGAAGATCATATTTTTTTTATTTTTTTTACGATGCCGACAAGGGTGTGGGCCATTAATTCTATCCATTTCGTATTGTCGAAGTCATTAGTTATCATATTTATTAGCTTTATTATTAAATCCTAACGCTGTGACGTGACAATCTCGATTTTTGTCAACTTTATTGTCAACATAAACTATTGAGATGATCTTCCTGAACAATAGTAAATGAAATTAATTTAAATATTTAGATAAATTATATATCATTATATAATAATAATAATAATAATAATAATAGATGTTTATTGCTTTATATGAAAAACTTGTATTTCCTAATAAATTGTGTTGCGTACTAGTTGCTCATTAGTTAATATTATACGCAAAAAAAAAAAAAAATGAATAAAACAAAAGATAGAAATCCCTAAAGGAAATTGAAGTAAATTGCAAAAGATGGAGAATTGATTCTATATCAAGAAGGTCGAACAATGGTTTCTCTGGCTCTTGCTTGTGAAATGAAGAGAGACTGTGCTTTCCGACTTCCGTAACATCCGGACGCTATAGCGGCTAAATTAAGCCAAGCAACAGCATCAACAGCGAAATAATTCATTCTATAAAATCGACAACGGGAAATCAAATCAAGGTTTTCGTGAGACTTTAACACTGACCTTTGCCCTTGCGTAAGGAGGATGGATACATATAAATGAAATGAAGGTGTCAGTCGATCAACCCATCATCAATCTATATATGGCAACTTTTCGTAGAGACGTCGCTATCACAGTACAGCATTTGGAACTATACAACAGGAAGATAGTTCGGAGCAATAGGTTAAGAACGCATTCAAGGCAGTACGGTATGGTATCTCTATAGATATCTTAAAAAGGTAAGGAGATGTAATGGAGATGAGAGGCAACTTACGTTCAGGCATTATGCCATGGATTAATGTCAGTCAATAGTTCCTGCGTCTGACGTATACAGGTCGTCGGTAATAGAAAGTCCATATTACTTTTGGGAAGTGCCAAACACTTAAACAATGTCTGTCGAAATTGAGTGTTGATGCCGACAACTGTAATGATAAACGCAGAGCG